CCTGGTGAGGTCAACGATTGTAGCGAGCTTCCTGCTATGTACACGCGCGTCTCTCACGTGCTGGACTACATCAACGATGTTGTGAACGGTGGCTCCATTGGTAATGTCACTGACTCGCCCCCGACGAATGAGCATATCGCGGAACTAATTCAGTAATCAAGTTGGAAACACCTTGAAAAGACTAGTAGGCTAAATGAAAGGACATTTGCGGGAGATCGCTCTTCTTTTTTTTGTTGTTGCTGTTCGCATGTTCTAGATGCTGCGCATTTACTCCCAATCAACAGGAATCAAATACTTCCTCTCGTATGTAATAAATGCAACGACCTTCGAAGTGGTTCTCGTGGAGGGTCGGTTTCTAGGCAGTGATTGATGCATCAGAATATCGGCACAGTTTGATTCAATGATGGTTTAGCGGGGAAAATCTCTCGAGGTAGAGAGTGTTCTCTGCTATCGGCATTCATGGCCATCTTCACAACCGATCTCAATCCAAACTCGCAGCCTCTGAAACCGGGCGTGGTAAGCCGACATAGTCTTTATGTGACGCGTTGCGTCAGGGACGACACGTAGAGGACGTTGTTTTACCGAGTGCAAGAGCACTAGAAAGTCGACAAGGGCATCATCAGCGCCGCTGGCCAGTCTCATCAAGCTTTAGTTTAAAGGGGGTAATGTATTGCTTTACGATACGAAGCTCAGGTTCGCGAGAATCGACGTCGTGGAGCACTTTACGCCTTGAGTACATCCAACGGCAAACGACTTCCGAGTGTCAGTCTTCAACCTACCGATGCTCGAGTGCGACGCGATCTGTTGAGACTCACACAACTGGAAGACAAAAGAGTGGAGAGCGAGAAGAGAAGCGTCTACGAGGACGAGCAAAACGACTGCATGAGAACGGGCTTGGGATAAGCCCGCCTGTGGTATCTTTCCGCGGGGCAGTCTCGCTTGAAGTGGCCCAGCCTGCCACAGCCGAAACAGCGAATATCGTGCTGTTCGGCGGAGAGTTCCATGGGAACTGGTGCGCTGGGGCTTTCCCGATTGGGTTCTGGGATGAACTCCCTGGCCACGCTGAGGCTACGCGCCTGGTGGTGGCTATACTCTTCTTGGAGGGCCACTTAAATCGCCTCTTCAAAGGGTGCTTGTCTGCACCCCGAACAGCTGAGTGCGCGCCGGGCCCACTCGAAGGCCGTCCATGAACACTGTCACCTTGATGTGTTCGTTCAGTGGGTTGCCCACTAGGGATGCCGTAAGCTCCCGCATCTCTTGGATATATTCGTGCAGCTCACGCTTCTCTTGTTTGCATGAGAGGTTCATGAGAGGAAACGTGAGCGCTGGCGATACTCATAGTTTGCCGATAGGAACGCGACTCGAAGCTGTTCACACAGCTGAGCTCAGGATGTGAAACATCCAGGCGATGTCACCTCCCGCCTGTACGCCCAACTCTTAGCACGACCGCTAA